CGCAGGAGGCCGCCGTGGGTGGCGTCACTGAGCCTCAGCGATGGCAGGAGGGAGGAGCAGGGCGGCAATGACCAGAAGAGGGGAAGGGGGAAGGGGAAGGGGAGGAGGACGGGTAGAGGGAGTAGGGGGAGGAGGCAGGGGAGGAGGGGGAGGAGGAATAAGAAGAGGAGAGAAAGAGCGGCAAAGACGGCAATAACTCGGAGGCGGAAGGCGGGAAAAAAGAGCGAGGAGCAAGAGGGGAGAACGAGAAGGGAACGAGCCTCGGCGAATGGGGAGAGCAAGGGCAGGAGCAGGAGCAGGAGAAGAGGCGGAAGCCGCGGCGGACGTGGGCATAGGAGAAGGCAAAGTAGAGAGAAGCACAGACATGCAGAGGCACCCTGAGCCGATCATCTCTAGAGGGCCGCTTGGTCCCTGCTTCCCACGCTCTCCAGGTGAAGATCCGTCAAGTGGGCCCCCCTGGAAACGGACGATTGCACACGCACCCCTCACCCCATCCCTGGGCTCACTCCGCCTCACCCCTCCCTGGGGGAACAAGACCGCGCAAAAATCAGTGCTCGGAGACCCGCTCGGATTTCCTGGGTCGGCGCTGGGCCCTCCTCCCCCGCGCCCCTGCCCCGGCGCGCGGAGCGCGCCGCGGACAGCCCTGGAGACGCCGCCGGGGGTCCAGCGCCGACCCAAGAAAATCCGCGCGGACCTCCGAAAGTTTACGTCTGCAGCGTGTTTGCTGGTCGATGCCCCTTCCCCCGAGCTATCGGGGAGGCCAACTGCCAACCTCACTGATCCTGGGCACACGTAAACCAATCCGCATCCCCATCCCTGGGGCCCACTGGCCAGTGAACCCCCACAGGTGGGGATCTAGACTGTACCTTTCGGGCGTCGAGGGGCACATCCCCAGGTGGGGTGGCGTGGATTGTAGGGGTCGGCCACAGGGGGGGCGTCCAGGAGGGGGGGGGCACAAATCATGGCCAGCGGCATGTGCGCGGCCCAGGGCTGGGCCAGGGAACGCATTGAAATAAGAAGAGGCCCCATAAAATCTGGGGAGGTATCATGGCCCCCGCCATGAGATCCACCCCCCTTAGTCATCACCCCCCTCTTTGCCGCCCCCGAGATGGTGGGGTTCAGGGATCTCGGTTCAAAGATTCTGAAATCCTGCTCAGGCCCCCAGGATCGGCCCCCACACTTTTTTCTTCAGCGTCGGCGGCCAGGCAGAGGGTGACTGCCCCGGCGATACAGGCATGATAAGGGGGCTCCGCTGGAGCGAATGGTGCCACCGCTGCCGGAGGAGGAGGAGGGAGGGAGGGCCGCGGCCGAAGGCAAACAGGAACAGGAGGAGGAGGAGGAGGGAGGAGGAGGGAGGAGGACGGGCGGCTCCAGGGTCAGAGTGCTCCCCGAGCGGGAACGATCGGCCCCCACACTCCAGAAACCCAGCGTCTCCATTCTCTCGAGACACGGGCCTCCGACCTCTCGACCACTCCCCCGGGGGGACTGGCTTTTCCTCCCGAGTCGTTTGCTTGACGGTCCCGAGGCCCCTGGAGGGGGCACCGGGAGGCCAAAAAAACTACGAAAAATCTGCGCCTCGATTCTGTCGAGGCGCCCGATGTCTGGGCGTGCCGCCCAGGATCGGCACTGCGTGCCCAGGATTGCGAGGGAGAGG